GCGATTTTAATGGGCCGTTATCATGCTTCCTTATTTATCTTTTATTCCCCCCACCCTCAACCCATCTTGACTTGCTGATTTGACCTCGGACCTGCCACACAAATCTCTCATGGGCTCGTAGATCCGTTTCTTATCTTTCTAGTTGACCGATTTCACTAGTGGATACGAAAAGTAATTGGGTTTCGATTATTCTCTTGACATAACATTGTTGGGTGGACCTTCATTTCGTATGATAGTGCATGAAAAAGGGATTCTTACGTTGATCTCACCAGAAGACGACGGCTGAATTCCGTTGTTTCGTATGAAATTAACGTCATCTTTCAGAGAGCAATATCATCCGTTATCAAGATCCGGCAGCCACAAGATTGTGTGCTTCTGTAGTCGATCTTATGTTGGTGAGACTGGCCAACCTATTCGACAAAGACTGGGAGAACACAAAAATGCTTGTAAAGGAAGCTGGATCCAACGGTCAGAAGTGGCTGAACATTTGGTAGAAACTGGACATGAAATAGAATGGTCTCAAACTAGTTGGTTTGCTGATTATGGTACGCCTACGGTTAAAAAAACGATAAGAGAGGCTATTAATAGCTCAGGAAATACGTTGAATGTGAGGAACGGTGGTAGAAAATTGAGTATGAATTATTTAAAAAGAGATAGAGAGGGTGCTAAGTCGTCATCCAAAAGAAGGCAACTCAACTTGTTCGTTGAGTGATGCTTCTAGTCTCACTCACTCTCGTCCAACAAGTTAGATTAATCCCCAGTCATACCTTTCCTTGTGTGGCTAAACCGGATAGGCTAGGACAAGTGGTTTCGTAACTTGACCTAACTAGCCAAATTATTCTATATCTGTCTATACCTCTAAATTTTCTTTTGTCTAATTGAGTCTAAATAAGGGTTAAGATAGAGCCGGATAGTTTTCTTGACCTGGTTCTTCTAACTTGAGACTCTTACAGGACGGACGAAAGCTCAGCCAGTTTTCGTCCGAAGCGAGGGAGGACGTCTCGTGGGGTGCATAAACCGGAAAGTCGTATTAAAGCCAAAATAGCTGAAGTGCAACAAGAAACAGCCGTCCTCTTCTGTTGAGATCGACCTTCGAATCTCTTCTTCATGCACTTTCATACGAAATGAAAGTCTCATGAATTATTTGAGCTGGTTCGTTCTGCCCTTGAAAATAGCAACTATCCTTATAATTATATTAATTAAATTCGTTATACCCTCGAGATCATTAATAAGAGATTATTCTAAATTATGTCTGTATATGATTGCAGCTAATTTACTCAGAAGTTAACACTTTCCATTGTCCATTTTCTACCTAAAATAGTCTTAGGTTGGGTATATTCAGGGCTAAAAGTGTTGTTCGAATTAAGGCCACGAGCACCTTCAAGATATGCTTCCTCCCTTGGATCGGGTCTTATGAGGTTTAATCCCCTTGACAGACGTCTTTTTTCGTTCTCAACTGCAGGACATTTACCAATTTCAATTTTTACTTCCGCTTGTCGACACATTTCGCCCTATTTCCATCAACTAGTGCCCCCTGCTCTTGAATATCCTTTACCTATCCAGTTTGTCAACCAAAGTATCCCAATCCCGGTCACGATATCAGTCACACACGAGGACTGGGTCCGAAGGTATGATGGAATGCATACAATTGTCCCATGCTGATGATGGCTCTCAAACCGTCATTCTCAGGTCTTCTGACCTTTTCTATTCGCCTTTGCTAGGAAAACCTGACCTATAATGTCATCGTATTGCCACACTCTTCCTGAGGCTTCTTTGGAACCGCTATTGTGGAACCTTATAGCTTCGTCTGGCCACTTCTTCCTCGAGAATAGCACTCGTGCATCCGCCATTTCCGTATTTCTTCATTATGTTATTCCACTGCTAATTTCGGCCTGTACGTCTGGATTGGTAAATCCAGTTTCCAGGCACGGCTTCCTGCATCACCTTCATCATTAAACCCGTGGACTATGCTTCAATTGAAGTTGTGCCAAAGCCTCCATTGCAACAGCAGAGTGGTTTTATGGTGGGTCTGGGACTTTTCATTCTATGCTCTAATGGTAACTCGCAATGAAAGACGGCGCTTCTCGATGTTGATATCGGCAAAACTTCTCTGAATGTTGCCACTCAACAGTCCACTGCCGGAAGGTGGCATTATGACGATGCTAGAGGATGTAGTATAGACTACGCTTCCAAAGTCATCGGGAAAACGCCCCACAAGCACGCTGAAACGAATGAGAACCAATTGTATTCAAACCTTAGCATACACACACACACACACACACACACACACACACACACACACACACACACACACACACACACACACACA